ACCAGAATAAAACGAGGCGTGATAGCATAACCGTCTCGACAGAAAGTTGTTCAAGGGATTGACTTCACTTGATGAGACTGGCAAGACTCACTGATAATGCAGACTGCGATGCCGGCGAAATGTCTGAGAATGTACCAAGTCCACGGTCCGACTCTGAAGATGATCATGTATACGATGGATTCTGGACCAGGTGCGTTCCTGTAGGTCTTCCCGCTAAGATGATCAAGTTGTGAAATCAAGGTCAAACAACTTCTATTAAAAGAAAGGGGACCGCCACCATACAAAAGGCGAAACCTTCCTGTTCTTCATAGATTTGATTAAACTGGAGCTTGTTTTTGAACCTTAAATTGTCAAACAAATCTGGGTTAATCGAAGGTATGAATACCAAGATGGCGTGGCCTTTTGCGTGGTCGCGGTCCCCTTTCGTTTAATAGAAGTTGTTTGATCTTGGCTAATCAAATTGATCATATTAGCGGGAAGACTACAGCCTACTTCAAGTCTCCTGTTCATTAGATTTCTCTCGGTCATTATATCGATGGATTCTCAGATCTTACATATTCTCGTATTTTCACCATATGTAGCCAGGCTTTATGTCGATTTCCAGTCTATTTTGTGTCTCGTTCGTGCAATGTTCCGCTATTTCGGATCTTTCTGTAACCATGTTTCTGTAGAGTCTTTGATGTTCCTTGATTCGTAGGCCGATTTTTCTTTCTGCTTACAGTTGCCGCATTTGATGCGATAAATTCCCGAGCAATCAAGTTTGTCCGTATTCTCGTGTTGCGTCGGCAGTCTGGTAAAAAGTGTTGTCATCTCCTTTCTTATCACCTTGATATTACATTTCCTTAGTAACGATCGCAATTTTTTGCTCAGGCCAGGCAAATCCACTTCTGATCTTCCTCCTGATTCCTGATCTGATTTTCATAAAATCCGAGTTGAAATCTGTCCTTTATAACCTCCCCATTTTTTTTCTATAAATTCTCTAGGGTATCCTTTACTAAGGCAAATCCGTGTCAGTTTGTCCAACTCCTTGTCGTAGAACTTAGTGTCCGTTAGTTGTAAGCCTCTGATGATCAAACTCCTTGGTATTCCGATCTTCAAGTCAGTAGTTATGGTGAGACTGAAAATTAAGGATTATTCCCGCATATGAATTCTTTCTGTAAGCCTGTTCATGAGTGTCCCGTTGGAGCTGATGACTTCAATATCCAGAAAAGGTAGTCGTTCATATTCCTCCACCTCCATAGGGAATTTAACTCTTTCATCAAGTTGATTAATGAAATTGGGGCATTCATTTAAATTTTCCTAACCATATGACCAAAGTGCAAAGTAGTCATCCAAATATCGAAAAAGCACTGTTGGTTGCAGTGGTGAATTCTCGAATTCCCTTTCCAACTTGTCCATGTACACATTTGCCAAAAGAGGTGGAATGAAGATCCCATCGGTAGTCCAAATATTTGCTCGTAGATACTGCCGTTAAATGTAAAATATGTAGTCCTTAGTGTCAGGTTTATCAATTGTGTTAACGATTCCTTCCGTATCCGTTCCGCCTTCTCGCTCCAATATCTCCAGCGAGGTGCTTACCGCCTTCGCACCTGAAATGTTTGTGTACATGGATTGTACATCGAGCCACACCAACATTTCCATTCCCACCAGCCCAATGATCTGGATCCTTTGATAAAATTCATAAGATTTCTTAACGGTATTCGAGAGTCTGTCGTTTACTTTCTTGAGCTTCAAGCAAATGAATTGCTCGATGCTTGTCGTTGACGGTTAATCCTAACGGATTTCCTTCCTTGTGTATCTTCGGTAGTTCCTAGGATGTTGGTGGTCTTGCGTAATTTTCAATTAAAGATTTCATCATCCATCTATTAATTTACCCATTATTATACATTTCCTTTAGGATATTATTCAGTGTCCCGTTGATTTTCATGGTTGCATCCTTCCTTAGTATTTGATAAGTATTACGGTCGCCAAGGCTACAGCCTTTTTCTCTGTGTACTGTTATCTGCCCATTACAACCGTCACTCCTCCCTTATCCGCCTGAAGGACTATTTGATTATTCTTTTGTAATTTTTTCGGTATACCGATCAATATGCTCCGGTGTATCGGTTCGTAATGTGCCAGGATCCGTGGGATTATTTCCATTTCCATCACCCGCTTTGTCTCTTCAGGATATTTATCTGATATGTTGACAACTTCCACCAGAATATCACTAAGACCATTTTCCTCGTCACTTAGGGAAAAATGTAACCCCTTTTTTAAGAGATCCACAGGTTCAGAATCAGGAGTGATTGAAGCTAGATTTAACACCTTAATCTTATGGTCGTCTGTATCAGTAGATGCCTTCAATACAGAACCATCAACATTTGCACTGATTAGATTGGTCTTGCGTTGTCTTATTATCCCATAGCTAAGCAATTTCTTGTCAAGTCGCCTATTTATCAGATCCAGGATCCTCTGTGACTTTTAGTCCGTCATGCTCCTGAATTTTTGAAAATCATCCAAGGTGAGAATCCTACCTAGATCCTTCCTTAATCTGGATTTAATATATACGGACTTAAATAGGTTACGCATCTCAGTCTAGTAACTTTCTTATAATTTTTGAATGGAGGCGTGATAAAGTATTTCCTTAACTGTGCCCGAATGACATTTCCTCATTAAATTGCAGAATCTGGGAGCGATACCATAATGTTTGAAACAATTCAAAAAGGCCATATGGCAGGTTTGACTTACAATTGCCTTCTTTATCTAGCTGTAAACTGTGCATTGTTTGGGAATCTTAATTGCATATCAAAGGTATGAAGACCAAGATGGCGTGGCCTTTTGTGTGGTCGCAGTCTCCTTTCGTTGAATAAAAGTTGTTTGACCTCGTTTTCGCAACATGGCGAGACTCACTGACGATGCCGACTACGATGCCGGCGAAACGTCTGGGAAAGTACCACGTCCATGGTTTGACTATGGAAATGATAATGCATACAATATACTCCTGACTAGGTGCGTTCCTCTAAGTCTTTCTACCAATATGGCCAAGTTGCGAAAACAAAGTCAGACAACCTCTATACAACGAAATCAGACTGCGACCACGTAAAAGGTAACAGCATCTTGGTCTTCATACCTTATTATTTTTTGAAGGTATGAAGACCAAGATGGTGTGGCCTTTTATGCGATCGCAGTCTCCTTTCGTTGTATAGAAGTTGTTTGACATTGTTTTCGCAACTTGATCATATTGATAGGAAGACTTAAAGGAACGCCCCTAGTCCGGAGTACATTGTATGCATCATTATCTCAAAAGTTGGATCGTGGACGTGGTACTTTACCAGACGTTTCGCCGGCATGGTCTTCATACCTTCAAATAGACTATGGATGTAAGATTGCCAAGCAATGCACTACGTCTGGGTGACTAATTTGAGGTTAAAGCCTCTGAGTAAGTATCATGGTGATGCCTTTGCTGCGTGGACCATGTCTCTTGTAATACCTACTATCAGCCAACAAGCTCCAATCGCCGCCTCGTCTATCCTGTCTATATCCATAATACCAAGTCTATGACTTGCCATGCCCTAGTCTCTTGTGTACCAACACACAAATCTTGTGGTACTGCTTGCTTTGATAAGGTTCAATGATGAACCACAACGTTTGTGGCTTTGGCACACAAGAGCCTAGGGCATAGGAAGGTGTAGATTAGATATTATAGATATAAAGAGGATAGAAACAGTGGAAGCTAGAGCTAGTTGACTAACAATGGTCGTGATTCAAGGATCACATCTATGATCAAGCACTTCTATTTTTAGCTAAATAGCTTTATTCTTCACCGCGTCCTTCCAATTTCTATCTGTGGTACCATGTCCAACACTTACTACGTCCTAGTCTCTTGTATGCCAAACCACAAATGTCGTGGTTCTACTTGTTTTGATCAGGCTCACTCAAGAGGTCTCCTCTTTGCTTCTGATTGTTGCTTTCTCATTCCCCTACGATCCCTTTACCTAAAATTAAGGCCACACCATCTTGGTCTTTATACCTTCGATTAAAGTAAAGAAGTAAGAAGTGGGTTGACCTCGTTGTCGCAACTTGGTCTTGTGTTCAGGGAGCCTATTTAGAAGGCTCCAAGTCCGAAGTCGTCTGCTATAGTAGTTGTATTGATTCCCAGCATCTGACAGTGGACTTGATACATTCTCAAACGTTTCGCCAGCATCGTAGTCGGCATCATCAGTGAGTTTCGCCATTCGCCGCACCAAGATACGAACTCGTCAAAAGAGACAAGTGAAGTCAATCCCTCGATAACCGTTCTGCTGGAAAAGGTTACACTATCACTCCTCTTTCTGTCATTGTCTATATATCTACTCCACCATCTTGGTCTTTATACCTTCGATTAAACAATCGAAGTAAGTTGAATATATGAAGACCAAGATGTTGTGGCCTCGGGTGTGGTCGCAGTCTCCTTTGGATTGATAGAAGTGGGTTGACCTCGTTGTCGCAACTTAATCTTGTTTTCAGGGAGGCCATGTAGAACACACCTAGTCCGAAGTCGTCTGCCATAGTAGTTGTCATGATTCCCAACATCTGACAGTGGACTTGATACCTTCTCAAACGTTTCACCGGCATCGTAGTCGACATCATCAGTGAGTTTTGCCATTCGCCGCACCAAGCCATTGTCTACAAGACAATGAAGGGATCCGGATTGGAGGCCCGATTCGGAAAAGCCGAAAGAAAGAGAGGGCTTGGGGTAGATAGCAAGTGTGATGGGGCCACACTAGAATTGCCACAAAATGGCACACATTTTGAAGGCTG